ATAGGGAGAAAGTCAGCAGTAAGACATATGAATAAAGTTCTCTGTGACATGAATAAGTTTAAGGAAAAGTGCTGTGCCTTGATATGCATATGTAAACATCTCCATAAACCTTTTTAGTGCATAAAGAGCAGCATTGCGCTAGCAAGTCCCGCCTTTCGCCCTAAGGCGGTTTTCTCCTTTCTCAGTAAACAGAACATACAATCAGGTTTTATACCGAGATGTTCCATTGCCCAGGGACAGGCAGGAGACAGATGCTTTTCTCTATCTCAACTGCCAACAACTGCCAAGAGGCCTTCTTTCCTCTAGTACTAGTCCTCCTCAGCACAGACCCTTCACGGGTGTCAGGCTGGGGGATGATCAGGTCTTTCCCTTCCCATGAGGCCATATTTCAGACTATCACATGGGGAGAAACCTTGGACAATACCTAGCTTTCCTAGGCAGAGGTCCCTGCGACCTTTGGCAGTGTGCGTGTCCCTGGGTACTTGAGATTAAGAGAATGGTGATAACTTTTAACCAGCAAGCTGCCTTCAGGCACTTGTTTAACACACACCCTGCACAGCCCAAAATCCTTTAAACTTTGAGTCACTGTAGCACATGTCTCTTGCAAGGACAAAGTTGGGGGTAGGGTCACAGATTAATAGCATCTCAAATACAGAACAAAATGGAGTCTCTTATGTCTACTTCTTTCTGTATAGACACAGTAACCGTCTGATCTTTCTTTTCCCCACAGTTGACAGGGAAATAACTTTAAATGATGACTCATAGTTTTCATAAATAATCTAGATAAACTGTTAAAATAAGTAAATGTCATGGAATGAATACTTGTAAACAAACTCATCATAAATTAGAATCTAAAGTTATATTAAATATTTCATTAAATGTCTGGATATTTTTCAATTTAAAAAGCACATTGTAGGAACACATCTAAACACATCTAAAAAATATGTTATTGTTAAAAGGTAAATAATTTGTCTAATTCAAAGCTTATTTAAAGATTATGTATAAAACAAGGTAAAAGGGACCAGGAAGTAAGAGAAATGTAAAGAAAGTTATAGAAATAAATAGGTATTTTTGGTAAGAAAGGTTAAAGAAAAGTAATTTTATGTGAGAAAGAAGAGTCTTGTATGGTGAATTTTTGTCCTAAAATAAAATGACTGGGTTCTTCAAGAAAGAGAAATATTCAGGACAAACCAAAGAGTCCAGACATGCCATGAATGGTCTTTTAACAAGGTTAGTAAAAAAGGAATTTATAAAAATATTATGTGACTGGTTGGGGGCGGTGGCTCACACCTAATCCCAGCATTTTGGGAAGCTGAGGCAGGTAGATCACTTGAAGTCAGGAGTTCAAGACCAGCCTGGCCAACATGGTGAAACCCTGTCTCTACTAAAAATGCAATTAGTTGGGTGTGGTGGTGCATGCCTGTAATCCCAGCTATTTGGGAGGCTGAAGCAGGAGAATCACTTGAACCCAGGAGGCAGAGGTTGCAGTAAACCAAGATGGCTCCACTGCACTCCAGCCTGGTGACAGAGTGAGAATGACAACAAACAAAAAATATTATGTGATTAATTGGCTATAATTAAAGGAAACTATAATAGTTTTTATAAAAATTGAACTTTGATATTAAAAATACACTAATATGAAACTAAAGAGTTGGTTAAAACAAGATTTCATTAAAAATAATCAGTTACTCAATGCAAGATGTTTTCAATTTTTAAATTCTATAATCTGTTTCATTTTGAAATTATTCAGATTGATATCTCAGAAGTTATACCCTGTTGCTTCACCTCTTCTCTTTTATGAAGGCCTGGGATGGTAACTCTCTGCTTCAGCTTTTGCTGTAACTTTTTTTGTTGTTGTTGTTAGAGTCTCGCTCTGTTGCCCAGGCTGGAGTGCAATGGCACAATCTCTGCTCACTGCAACCTCTGCCTCCTGGGTTCAGGCGATTCTCGATTCTCCTGCCTCAGCCTCCCAAGTCACGCCTGGCTAATTTTTTTGTATTTTTTAAGTAGAGACAGGGTTTCAGCATATTGGCCAGGCTGGTCTCAAACTCCTGACCTTGTGATCTACCCGCCTCTGCCTCCCAAAGTGCTGGGATTACAGGTGTGAGCCACCGTGCCTGACTGTGCTGTAACTTTTTTTAAATTAATGGTTTAAGGGAGAGAATTTTTTTAAAAAAAGCAAATGAAAAATCTTTTGGATCTGCTTTGGTCTGCATGTCTCTTATATCTGTGTATGTGTCAGGAGAAAGTGATATTTCACTATTAAACTGTGAAGGAGCTCTAATCAATTGACTTAAAGAAAAGTAAGGGCTTACCAGTCTGATAGAAGCTAGTTCACATGCCTTTTAATTCACATGACTTCAGTAATCTTTGGTAAGCTTAATTTGGTAAATTTGATCTCAAAATTCTCTTCAATAGTTTAAAATCTTAAAGTCATGTTATATTAAATTAAAACCTCATTTTTTTTCTCCCCCACTGGGAATTTGGGTTACTAGAAATTAGATAGCAGGAGTGTAAAACATGTTTTTGGTGAAGTTTATAAAACATAAGGATGTGGATTTTGCTAAAGAAAATGTAAATTTTTTTAAGGAGTTGCTTTAAAATAAAGAATAAATTAGGCTGGGTGCGGTGGCTCACACCTGTAATCCTAGCACTTTGGGAGGCTGAGGCGGGCAGATAATTTGAGGTCAGTAGTTCCAGACAAGCCTGGCCAGCATGGTGAAACCCCGTCTCTATTAAAAATAAGGCGGGAATGGTGGCATGTGCCTGTAATCCCAGCTACTTTGGAGGCTGAGGCAGGAGGATCATTTGAACCTGGGAGGCGGAGGTTGCAGTGAGCCGAGATCGTGCACTCTAGCCTGGGTGACAGAGCAAGATTCCGTCTCAAAAAGAAAGAGGAAGGAAGGAAGAAAGACAGGAGGGAAGGAGGGAGGGAGGAAGGGAGAAAGGAAGGAAAGGAAGGAAGGAGGAGGGAAGGAAGGAAGGAAGGAATTACATAGATTATACAGATAAAACTAAATAGATAAAAAGAAAAAACTAAGCCAGGAAGGAAGAAAGGAAGGAGAGAGGGCGGGAAGGAAGGAAGGGACAGAGGGAGGAAGGAAGGAAGGTATTACATAGATTGAAGGAAGGAAGGAATTACATAGATTATACAGATAAAACTAAATGGATAAGAAGAAAAAACTAAGCCAGGAAGGAAGATCGGAAGGAAGGAAAGAGGGAAGGAAAAAATTACATAGATTAAATGGATAGAAGGAAAAAACTAAGCCAGGGCAACAGAAGTTACTCTGAGACCTGTGTTTGCTGAGAAGAGAGTTGATGTGGGGGAAGGGCACAACTAAGTAACTATGAAACCGGAGGGTGTAATGTAAATGAATTGTTCCATTTTTGTAGGCTGGTATCATCAGCTTCCTGAGAAACCTTTACTATAATGGATTGTAAAAGTAACTACTTTAAGGACAAATTTCATAATTTATGCTGCAAAATGAAAGAGGTTTTTTGGGTTGATGCAGGACCCACAGCAATTAAACAATTACTGTTGAGTATATGTGATCCAGATGCACAGAAGGTTATTCCTGCAACCAACCTATTGGACTAGATAAACTCCATTGTAAGATCTGTTTGCCCTGAGAAAGGGACTGCCGGACTGTCCCTATAAATACCAAGTGGAGCACCCCAGATGAAGCAGTTGGTATGCTTCATATGCAAGCCATGTGGGACTGGCTTTATGATGACCAGGGTACTCTCTCACCGAATATACCTATTACTCAGGCCATGGTAAATTTGGGGATAAAGAGGACCCCTATTTACATGGGCAGCCCCCCGCCAGAATCATACAGCTGTTTTAGAAGGCTTATTAAATTTGCTGTCCTTCATGGGTCTTACACATGCTTAATAATTAAAGACATTGGGGTAATTAACAACAACAACAAAAATGGGAAAGGAAAAGCAGAGTCAAAGGACTCACCTCAGAAGGTTGATAGAAACGTTTGGATGGATGGTCACTATTTGCTCCAGATTGGAAAATTAAAAAAAAAAGGGAAAGTTTATAATGAGAAAGATGGCATTTCCTGGGGCGATGTTGAGGCAAAAAGAAGATAAAGGTTGACTACAGGGCCTGAGTCTCCTGGCCCAACCCCCTGCTGGGGACTCAGATCCTTTTGATACAAGATGTTGCTACCTGGGTAATTTTCTTAAGTGGGGAGCCTCTTTTGTCCCCTAGGACTAACTCTGTATGAAGAGCAGCTGGATTCTGCAGTGCTTGATAGACAGCTCCCATCTAACAGGAGTTGTTTGGCTTGTGGTTAGCAGTTCCAAAGCGAACAAATGATATCCTGTTTGAAAGCTGCTGCTCTAGTTAAAGAAGAATCAAGCAAATGTTTTTCTTTGGAGTTATCTATAGTTTAGAGCAATTGAGTGACATATGTTTTTGTGAGCAGATTTACTTTGAGTTCTCCAAAATTCGGAAACTACTTGTAAAGTATTCTGATTTTATGACAAATAGTTACTTGCACAAGTTTAGTAAGAGTCTTGAAACAGGACAAATGTAGACATTGGTTATTTTACCAAGGATTTGACTAGATTTACATATTTTTAGGTAAAGTTACAGCAAATCCAACTTAATAGGAGCCTGTATGGCCAGTCCGTTCTTGCTGCACTTAATGTGAGTAATCAGGCCAAGCGTAATAAACCTAAAGCTTACTTTGCACACACGTTGGTCTTACCGTGACTTCTCTTCAATAGGAAAGGAGGGCTAGAGAGAGAGAGAAATTGTTCCAAAGAAAAGTATAACACTCGATACTAGATTTCAGCCTCAACTTTTGTTTTTTTAGTGTAGATTGAATCATGAATTATTTCTTGGCCATGGTAGTAAATAATTTTTCTTCATATTTTTAGTTGGTGCCCTAATTTAATGGGTTCCTTTTTCTGTTCTGTCACACATATACTCTTTCGATTGTCAAAATATTAATATTACTTATCTCTCCTTGTTTTACTTCCAGGGAAATCACAGTCATGGTATTCTGAAGATCAGAGATGCGAGTCTCCCTTATTTGGCATTCCAGTGGGCCCAGTCTATTATTCACTCCAAATGCCCTGCTACTAAGATTAAACAAGCACATTCCCCCTAGGCTCAGGGACTGTTGTGGAAGAGGTGGCCATGTGAGATTGTAAGGGCCAGTTTTGATTAATAGAATTAGGGCGAGATCAGACTCTCCAGCAAATCAAGGATTGGTACAAAGATGCCTAAATAGCTGATAAAACTAGAGACATTCCCTTCTAAGCTATTATGTGTCGCCTTTGCGTCTACCCCAACCATAAATAATTTCCTGCTTCCTGTAGAATTAAAGAAAAATAATTACTGATAGGATAAAGATACCTTGTGACAAAGCCTCCTGGGTATAATACTCCCAGTTATGAGTTGTGCAAATAGATATATTTTTTTAAAAACACACATTTTTTTCAGAACAATGCTTATGTTTTGTTTAGCTAATTGCTATAAATCCGTAACTAAAACCAAGATTATGTGCTCAACACATAGAAGTTTAAAATAAGTCAGTTTTGTAACCTCACCTTTGGCTTTTTGTTTGTTGGCTTTCTACTTAAAAAAAATAATAATAATTTTAAAGAATAATGAATGCCTGTTCACATCCATTCCTGTCTGGCCTAAAATAGTTAATTGGCTGTAAGTCTTGTTGACTCTAAGTCCCATGGCCATAGGGAGTCCCACCAAGGGGCAGGATGGACCTGGGGGAGGCAGCCATGCCACCCTGGCAATTCTGAAACCACCTTTGCAAAATTATGTCTGAGACAGTGAAAGCGATCTAACTTAACTGACTCCGTCTTGCTTCTAACCTCCAAGCTGTCCTTGTTCATTCCTGGGCTTAGGCTGAACAAACTTTGGGAGAAACTTAGTTTAAAACAAACGTGGTAACAGCCTTTCCCCAAAGCAGACCTTCTTGCCTCGGGACTAGATTGCCTTTGTGGGACTAACATTAGCCACAAGATTAGAAATTATGGTTTAGGAGTCATGCAGCTGGAGGCTACAAGATTCTGACCCTTCCTAAACTGCTCCTAAGACCTATGCTTGAGATACTTTGCAGACCTTGCACATGATGGATCAGCTGGCACCACCCAGATCAATAAACTGCTCATCTGATCCTGTGCACCGCTCCCCCCACCCACCCAGGAACTGACTGAGTGCAAGAAGACAGCTTTGACTCTCTATGATTTAATCTCTTACCAATCAGTACTCCTGGTTCACTGGCTTCCTCCCACCCACCAAGTTATAAACTCTGATCCCCAATGCTCAGGGAGACTGATTTGCGTAATAATAAAGCTCCCACACAACTGGCTCTGTGTGAATTACTCTTTCTCTATTGCAGTTCTCCTGTCTTGATGAATTGGCTCTGTTTAGGCAGTGGGCAAGGTGAAATGGGCGGTTACAATGCTATGGGACAAAATTAAGATTTGGTGGCCATTGATGTTGCCTCTGGCCACATCTCCTCCGGGGAGAATGTAAACCAAAAATAAAATTGGAACCCCTCCCCCTACCCCCAACCCATCCCAGTCTTAATGGACTCCCTTCTCGGCCAGGGCACTCTAAAATTTAACCTGAAAGACTGGTCAGGCCGTGGTGGGAACTGGGAGGCAGACAGGCCTCATACCCCTCCAGCATTAACATCAACAGACCTTAAGTGTGATAAGAGACAATTACAGTCTATTTTCTCTGAAGCCTGCTACCTGGAGGCTTTATCTGCAAGACAAAACCTTGGTCTTCACAACACCTTATCTTAACCCAGACATTCCTTTCTACTGATAATAACTCTTTCAACTAGTTGCCAATCAGAATATGTTTAAATCTGCCAATCACCTTGAAACGCCTTGCCTTTGAGTTGTCTCACCCTTCCATATCAAACCAACGTAAATTTTACACGTATTGACTAATGTGTTCTGTCTCCCTAAAATGTACAAAAGCAAGCTGTACCAAAACCACCAGGACCTCCTGCATCTGTTTCACTGGTGTGTCTTTAATCATGGCAAAATACGCTTTCTAAATTGACGGAGACTTGTCTCTGTTTGAGTTCACAGATGTGATATGGTCAGCCAAATGTGCCTCTTACTAGTTTTTCTTTTCAATAGCTTCTACTTATGTCTGTCACTGCTTCTTATGCTACTACTAATTATTTTAGGTGAACTCAAAGTAGTTTTACTTCTGGATAGTGATGTGAAAACTGAGATTATCAGAAGTCTGCTCTCTGATTCTTGCTTTACTTGTAAGGGAGGAGACCACCCCTCATATTGTCTTATGCCCAATTTCCGCCTCCAAAGAAAGAAGTAAAAACTAAAAGGCAGAAATGAAATCCACAGGCAGACAGCCCGGTGCCGCACCCTGGGCCTGGTAGTTAAAGATCGACCCCTGACCTAACTGGTTCTGTTATCTATAGATTACAGACATTGTATAGAAATGCACTGTGAAAATCCCTATCTTGTTTTGTTCCGATCTAATTACCGGTGCACGCAGCCCCCAGTCATGTACCCCCTGCTTGCTCAATCAATCACGACCCTCTCACATGCACCCCCTTAGAGTTGTGAGCCCTTAAAAGGGACAGGAATTGCTCACTCGGGGAGCTCGGCTCTTGAGACTGAAGTCTTGCCAATGCCCCTGGCCGAATAAACCCCTTCCTTCTGTAACTCGGTGTCTGAGGAGTTTTGTCTGCCGCTTGTCCTGCTATACTTGGACTAGACCTTTTTTAGCCACCATAATATTGTACATTAATCTCCACTGGTATAAACTTCATGAGTCAGGAACACATCCCCAGAGGCCTGGCACAAAAAGATATCTTGGTAAATATTGTAAAATGAATGAATTTACTTTGTGACATTTCAAGTTCCTTGAGGACAGAAACAGTGTCTTACTCCTTGTGTCCCTTATATTTTAAAATATTTTAGAGTAGTTTTTTGAATAGGATATATATATACGTGTCTCATATATATCATACATGGCACATACATGTGTGTGTGTACATACACAAATTTGCAAAGATACAAAGAAGTATACAGTGAAACAGAAACAGGAATCCCTGTCCACCAGCCACTCAGATGGGAAACCCTCCTGGAGCCAACATCATTATTCATTTTTTGGTGCATCTTTTCTGGAAATGTTCTGTGCATGCACAAGTATTTACATATATATCTTCAAATTCAAATGGTAGTATACTTTCTAGACACTTTTGTGCATTGCGTTTTTTGCACTTAACATTAGAACGTGTAGAGACTGCGAAGTATTCGGAATGGACATACCACATTAAAAAAAAACTAGTCTTCTATTGATGGACCTTTATATTGTTTTTAAGGTTTTGCCGTTTTGGAAAACGCTATAGTGAATTTCCTTGTTTGTTGTTTTACGTATTGGCAGATTTATCTGTAGAATAAATTCCTGTGAGCGCAATTGCCAGCTTAAAGTGTACTATGTGTATTTTACATATTGGGAGATATTGGCAAGTTGGCCTTAAAGAGCTCTATTTACTATTTATAGTTCTACTAATGATTTAATACAGTATTTTGTTAACATGGCCTTTTGGTCTGGAAAGAATTAGACTGTAAGTACAGTTCAAATATCAAAGAAGACAAAGGTATGTCATAAATACATGAAATATGTGTAGATACTAGTCAATTTTATCATTTGCTACCATAAAATATGCACACATGTATTACAAAAAGTTAAAATTTGTCAAAACATACACAGAACATGCATAGTGGTTGAGAAATGTAAACAAATGTAAAGATGCAGTATTAAATTATTACACGTAAAATAATTGTAGTCCATGCTGTGCTACTGTAATAATTTTGTAGCCACCTCTTGTTGCTGCTGTGGCTCACTCCGTGTGACACTGATCGCCTCCTTGTGAACAGTTCATCTCTTCAGTAAATTGTGTTTTAACAGTAAAAAGTGATCTCTCGTGGTTCTCATGTATTTTTCATCGTGTTTAGTGCAATAATGTAAACCTTGAATGTAAATCTTGAGTAATACAATGGGACCCACTAGCGATGCTGGGAGTGCTCCAAAGAAGCAGAGAAAAGTCATGATATTACAAGAAAAAGTTGAATTGCTTGGTAGGTACCTGTAGATTGAGGTCTGTGACTGCAGTTGCCACCATTTCAGGCAGAGGGTTCATCTTGTAAACAGGCAATGTAAACTTAAGCTGTTGGTAAACACAGTACAATATTGTAAATGTATTTTCTCTTCCTTACGATTGTCTTAATGTTTTTTCTCCAGCTTACTTTATTGTAAGAATACAGCATGTAATACTTATATAACGTACAAACGTGTTAATTGACTGTTTATGTTATTGGTAAGGCTTCTGGTTCACAGTAGGTTGTCAGTAAAGTTTTTGAGGAGTCCAAAGTTTTATGCAGATTTTCAACCATGAGGAGGGTCAGCATTTCTAATCCCTCTCCATTGTTCAAGGGTCAACTGTAAAAGAAGTGGAAATGCCCAAGTGTGTTTAGCTGTTTTAGTAAAGTATTTTCTACATCGTTGCAAATTTTAAGATAAGAACAAATTAGGCCTGCAGAGATGCTACCCCATTTAAATTAATTTCACTTTGAATATAGTTCTAAAAGGAGAAAATCTTAAAAAAGAAAAAGAAAAAGAAAAAAAAAACTAAATCGTAGAGCTGATGGAGTACCCCTTAGAAATTCTTAGATATTCTCATTTTCTGTCTCTGAGTCTTTCACTCCCCCATATTCCTCTCCCGCCCCCCCATATTTCTCTCTCTACAAGCACACAGAAATAGAAAGAGAAGTAGGTGGTAATTAGTTTGCTCAGGATTACCCAGCTAATTACTGGTAGAGCCAGAACTGTAGGAAACATTCCATATTACTACATTACAGTTAATTCACAGTTGTGGATTCCTCATAATGGGTTTTTTGTTGAAATTTTTTTAAGTCTTAGATTTTATTTAATGTTTAGTCCTGATTTTTTTCAGTTTATCATTTGAATTTCAGTTTTTAAATAATTTTGTGATAGCTGAAGAATAACCATTTGTTATGCTAGAAACTAAGTTAGCTTGGTAAGCAGTTCTGCATTAGTGATCTCAAGAGGCTTTGCATATGAATTGCTTTCGTTTCTGAGAAGATCATCTTGATTTCTCCCCTTTGGAGAAATTTTGGAGACTATGTTGAATATTTTTGAAAATTTTAAAATAAAAACAAATTAACCATACAGATATGCTGAACAAGTTTCCTTCTGAATATAGTCTTAAAAGGAGAAAACATTTTTGAATACAAATCCAAAATTCAAAAATCTAAAATCTAAACAAAAATACAAATCTAAACTTCATGTTTCAAACATTATTGCCAGAGTATCTAACTGAATAGAATAAGAAGAAGCAGAAAAAACTTTAAAAGACCAATAGCACCTTGCTAGCACATTGCTAATAAGAACTAATAGGTACTTAAACTGATGAAAGTGATTCAGACAACAACATATTAACCCCCTGCTGTGCCCTGTTTTAAGCTGTTAATAGACATTACTCTTTTAAAGAAAGACTAACACTTCTATATTTGTTTTCTAAGCTTTTGGTACATTAGTGAACTGTTATAGACACTTGCCATATCTGATTCTTATAGCACAGTACATTTTCCAGAATACTTTTTAGGAACGCTAACTGCTTTAAAAGTTTAGATTTCATGTGGTCTTTAAAAAAAAGAATTCTTAATGTAATACATATTTTATATTACATTTTGATTCTTGTAATTAAAATTTTTTGTAAAAGTTATATGAAATGAATAAATGCTAGTATTTTTCACTAAGACGATGTTTTATGTAGAGAAGGTAGTAGTTCTTAGATTTGATTTTTTTCAATCACATAGTAAGACCAGAATTTTCCCAGGTTTTTTAGTACTATCATCTGTGAAATTATAAGTATTGGTTATTTTCCTGAAATAAATTTAATTTTTAGAGATTTGGCTGGTAAGTGTATGTATGTATGAGGAAGGAGGATTTTTAAAGTGTAATTTTCTTAAAAATGTAAGTAAACTTTTAATGCTGACTCCCTCCACGTTAGAGTAATATCTTAAATTTTTGTTTAGGTGCATTACTTTTATAGCACTTTAGAGAAGTGCTGTAGAAGACTTTGGTCTTTTAGTTTTTGCTGTTTTATGTTTTCATAGTAATTTCAAATACAAAGCTATTAGAAATTTGGCTTGGTTTTTAAAACAATTTTATCCTGAGGAAACTGAATGATATAAGTAAATGTTGAAGAAAATGTTGGTTGGATTGATTAATATTATGATGTATATGATTTGGATAAATTAAGACTTTACCAAAAATTTGGAGCTTTGGTAATTC